CTATGTACGAACTTACGAAAGACCTGATCTTTTTGTCACTTTTACTTGCAATCCCACATGGAAAGAAATAACCGAGGAGCTAATGCCAGGCCAAAAAAGTACTGACAGACACGATTTAGTTGCTCTAGTATTTAGATTAAAAGTACAAAAATTAATGTATGTAATTAACAAAGGGAAAATTTCGGAGAGGTGCAGTGCTTCATGTATTCAATTGAATGGCATAAAAGAGGATTACCGCATGCCCACATTCTAATATGGCTTAAACAGAAGTTGCGACCCAGCCAAATAGACGACATAATAAGCGCCGACCTGTCCAAAATATGATTCACGGTCCATGTGGAGCACGAAATTCAATATCGCCATGTATGAAAGAAGGAAAATTTAAAAAGAAATTCCCTAAAAAGCTATTAAAAGAAACAGTGCACAATTGCAATGGCTACCCTTTATACAGACGCAGAGCTCCCGAAGATGGTGGCAGGAAAGTTACAATCAAATCTCGCTCTGGAGCGTTCGAAACCTTAGATAACAGCTGGATTATCCCGTATTCGCCTATTCTATGTAAAATATTTAATGCCCACATTAATGTAGAAGCATGTAGCTCTGTCCGCGCAATCAAGTATATCTGTAAGTACATAAATAAAGGAAGCGACCAAGAAATATTTAATCACAGGAGTGATGGTGCGGCAAATCCCGTTAATTAAGTACAGACCTTTCAAGCAGGTCGTTATGTCAGCAGTAACGAGGCAGCGTGGCGTCTCCTTGGCTTCCCTTTACACGAAAGGCACCCAACAGTTACTCACCTTGCTGTGCACTTAGAAAATGAAGAGCGTGTATATTTCACCGAAAGAAATTTCCAAGAAAGAATTGCATCACCGCCAAAAACTACACTAACAGCCTTCTTTCAATTTTGTCAAACCGACCCCTTTGCAAAAACGTTGTTATATTCTGAAGTCCCTCGCTATTATACTTGGAACACATCTAGGAAGGAGTGGAAACGCCGTATTCAAGGCGCGCCTGTTGCAAATTGGCCCGGTGTAAAGTCATCAGATGCCCTTGGTTGTGTGTCCGTGTAACTAATTTTGAATGTTTCTGTTTACGATTGCTGCTGCACCATGTTCGGGGTCCTACAGGATATAAAGACCTTAAAACTGTCAACGGTCAGGAATGCACAACTTATAGAGAAGCATGTGAAGCTCTGCATCTTTTAGAAAACGATAATCACTGGGATGAAACCATGGAGGAAGCTGTGCAGTGCCAGTCACCAGCCAAAATTAGGGATCTTTACGCAACTCTCATATCATCTTGCGGGCTATCTAATGCACATAAATTGTGGGACAAATATAAATAGTACACGGCGGAAGATATTTTGCGAAGGTTACAACAGACACACGCGAACATGACATACAATGAACTCATTTATAATGAAGCACTTGAAAAAATTAAAGATAAAGTAATGGCAATGGTAGGCAAAAAATTAAGCGACTTTGGAATGATAAGCCCACAGCGAACAACCGAAAATGAACTAAGTGATGAAATTATACGTGAAACAAACTACGATATACTAGCTTTGCAGCAGCAAGTAGCCGAATTTGTACCCCGCTTGCTTCCAGAACAAAAACGAGTTTTTGACAAAGTATTAGGACAAATTGAATCTGGAAATGGTGCACTTTTCTTTTTAGATGCCCCTGGAGGAACTGGGAAGACATTTCATTATGATGATTTCAAGACATTATACGAGGTGGCGTCTTAGAAACAATTTGTTTTATTATTAATCTATAATCCTTTTTTTATGGATTAAGTATCTTAATAACCGATAAAAAGTTATCCCTTGGTATTTGCTAATATTACTTGAATTATTTGTGCAATATCTAAAAACACACCAAAGCATATTTTATCCAGAATTTTTTTAATATGATTAATCGACACATGTCAACTCACTAGCGCCTAGCGAGTGACTGAGTAAAGTGCGGCGATAACACCGCAATTGAATAGTACAGCGTAACTAAAGGCAGTGCGTCTCTAGTACGTACTACATAATCAATGTATGTACCCATTCTTTTAGTTGTATCCCAAGAATCGACTTTATACGATATTGGCATAACCATCGCAGATCGCCACATTCAAGCAACGCGAACGAATATAAAAATACATATTATCTTGTTCAATATGTATCTTCTCACGGATGCATGAGTACTTCTTGCGCACAAAATAATACTTACGTTTACAACTCAGACATCCTTCTGCAGTATGTATTTTATTTTATTTTATTTGGAAGACCAACAGCTATCATAATTTGGATAGATAGTACTAATAACAACAGTAAGCCAATTAAAGATCCTCACTAATAGATACAAAGGTGAATTTACAACAATGATAAACACGATTTAACACTCGAAAGTATCCAATACAACATATTTATGCCAAATGAGGGCTAAACTTGTATTATACATATAAAAAAACAATCAACTCATACTTAGGACAGTCAATAACACTACAAGCTATTTTTAATATAAAAATAAACACAAATACAAAAGTTAATCTTACTTAGAGCTACCAAAAAATGCATTATTAAGTATGCGCCTAGCTGACGCAGCACTAGTGTTAAACAAATCGAACTCAAACTCATTGGCTAGCTTATTGAAATTATTGCTCGCTCGCCATATAAATGTATTTTGCCTATAATTTGTAGATGCAAACGGGAGACTTAAAATTTTGTTGTGTCTAAGAAATTTGGCAGGACAGCTAACATGTAGTTGAGATAAAAGCTGAGGACAGTCAAGCACTACAAGATATTTTTAACAGAAAAGTGAGGTCAACGATCTCACGACGTATAGCAATAGGAAGAAGGTGATTTTTTTTTACAATAACTAATATAATTATCAGAGGTATAGCGATAGTCATTGGTTCTATAACAGAGGTAACGCATAAACTTACTTTGGATATTTTCAAGTCGGGTAATATATGTTGCATACCTGGGGTTCCAGATTTGAGATGCGTACTCCAAATTACTTCTTACAAGAGAACAATATAGGATCTTTAGAGTTTTAGCTTTAGTGAAGTCCCTAGAGCTACGCATCAAAAATCCAAGAGCTTTCGTAGATTTGGTTATAATACTTCCTAAGTGAACGTCTAATATGAGTTTGGAATCATGAAGAACACTGAGATCTCTAGCAATGGAATCCCTTTTAAGATTTTCACCGTTCAATTTATAATTAAAGAGAATCGGTTTGTATTTGCGACTATAGGACATAAGGGTTCAAATCTAAGAAATTTAGGTGGCAATAACGCTCTAGATTTGACAGATCTTCTTGTAGAGCCTCAGCATCCTCGATTGATGTTATTTTTAGAAATAGCTTCATATCATCGGCAAAACATAATAAGCGAGCTTTCTTTCAGGTAATAGGTAGTGTCATTGATGAAAATAACAAATAATAACGGACCCAGCAGTGAGCCCTGTGGCACCCCACTTGGAACAGTTACCCATCCTGATATGTAGTTGCTGACGACAACAGCTTGTGATCGATTATTTTTATAAGACGTAACCATCTATAAATATCAAAAATATATTATAAGAAATCAAAGAGTAAATAAACACTAGGTTTTATGTAAAATGATACGCGTTTTTGCTCTGGAAATATATTAAACTAAAATATATTATCTTACTATCGCTCTTGCCTTAAATGGCTCACTATTAAACAGAGGCATGACTCTAGAATTTTGCTTGTTCCCTTCTCTATCTTAAATGATCCATCCACTCCTTATCGGAACTCCTTAGGAGAAATTTCAGTATATTTCCTTAACGCATGATAGAACTCTGCGATATTCATATAATAATAAACTAAGTATCCCACTACATTTTACTAATTTTTTGGTAAATCCTTAACTATTTAGGCTGCACTGCTCTGGAATTTCTTGTCCGATGATGTCAGAAAAACATCTAATAAGACTGCAAAAAATTGGTACATAAGCACTTTATGAAGATATTATATGATAGTCAATATGGTCAATTTGGTTACCTTTGTTGTTATTTTATTTATAGGTTTATGTTATATATCTATTTGTATTTAAAATATGTATATATTTATGTATCTATGTATTTGTATGTAAATATAATATATTGTCTGTATTATATTTTATAGTATATAAGATTAGTTTATATATATATATATATATATATATATATATATATATATATATATTTTTAGTTTATTTTTAAGTTGAGAGTGAGACTGTGGAAAATGTCTACATGGCTTTTAGCCAGTAGCAAAGTATTGACAAGTTACAAGGTAATTACTATATATATATATATATATATATATATATATATATATATATATAAAACAAGTTATTATATACGTGGTTAGGCAATGCATCAGCTATATTGTAATACTCGTAGCCCGAATAAGACGGCTCCTCCGGGTAGAATCACGCTTTTACAGAATACCAGCGTTACATAGAGGTTCAATGCAGGCAGTGTTTCATGTGGTGAATGTCCTTTAAAAACCGGGAACACTTCTTACTGATTTTGATTCTTAATCGAGAATAGGTATAGATAGAATTTATGGATTATAGCTTACACTTACTGCCAGGTGGAAAACACAACTTTCGAAAATATAATTTTTAAGTTTTTTGTGTTGGATAATATTCTACATTTATCCTCATATATTAGCTTCTACTTTAGATGCTCTTCAGCTATAAATTAGACATAATAGTTGCTAAGCAACTACCATACGTTTGGATTGAGGCACCTTTTCCTTAAGCTTTTCCTTAATTATTATAACAAAATGTCGCTAAGCCCTGTAACGTGGCAACGGGAGTACAACCTCTGCATAAGACAAAGGACTATTAAAATAACTCAACTAATAAAATAATTCGTTTAGATATCTAACTTTTAATTTAAAATGCATTTTAAGCATTAAAATGTCAGTTTGTCGTTAATTTTTATAAGTCTGTTAAAAAGCATCTCATAAAATTGTAACATTATGGGCTGAAACTCTACAATGTCGGGTAAGGTTTTTTACATATTGCTAAAAATTCGTATTAAGTTTTATTTATATATCTACTTTGTAAGTTTAATTTATTGTTTAAATAAATAATTCAATTAATAACCATATTAACTCTACATGTATATTATAAACAACCTAATTATTATTTAAACCACAAAAACTTAATTTCAAACAAAAGTTTATGCGACTGTCGTTTCAGCAAAATTACCATGAAAAAATAAACTTAACTTCTCATCAGTTTGACTCATAGATAATGGTTTTCAAGTGTATGCATTATTTATGAATGTATGTGTATTTCTTTGGCACGGATTCGATTTAGGGTATATATGCAATTTAAATATAGCGTCTTCGATTAAAAGAGGCAGGGAAAAACGCTGTTATATTTTGATATTACAACAATATGGATCAAATGAAAGCTAGTAAATAGCCATCTCCAGATATAAAATTACATTGTTATATTATTTTGTTTGACGTAAGGACGTAACCGTTCACAATTTACAAAACACCAAACTGTATCGATCCGTTGTGGATCTCAGCTCACAAAGGCAAAGAGTCAAGCTAACCTAATTCTTAGTATAACATAAGCTAGACTGACCACAAATAAAACATGACGGCATTCCTACGTTCCTAGCGTCAGGAAATGGCCCAACGCAGATTTCACTACGGTGGGTGTTGCTTAGAAATTGCGGTGGGAACGAGTTTCGTTTTCTCGTAGCCAAAGAGTAATATAAATCACTACGCCCGTAGCAGACATTTGTAGCGGTCGATTATATTATTCAATGGTTGATTTTCTTCCTCAGAAATACATGATTCTTAAAATTTTTCCCTTCACGTGCTAAATAAAAAAACTAAGTACAGTAGTACAGTAGTGTACTCCTCTTATCTATTTCTGCCATCAAATAGCAGTGGCCTCACTGCTGTGCTCACACTCACTTCGGTCTAAAGAGTCAGGCTGTGAGACATTGCATCTTATTCTTCAGAGGTGACAATGCATCTTTAGCCTTCTCTCTGAAGTTTGCTTCGGGTGCCCATAGTCTGTAGTAGCCACTTACCATCAGGTAGACTGTAAGCTCGTTTATAACCTCAGTTTATTAAAAAAATCAACAATAACAAAAAAAACAATAGTTCGTTACTTGAAATAGGCATTTTCTCAAGTAACTGTTGTTAAAAGAATGCCAGTTGCAAGTTGCTAGTTATTTCAACTTTTTGAGTTAAGTTGAAATAACATTTTGGATGTTTATAAATTTAGCTGGTATCTGCTTTTTTATGTATCTACATAAAAAAAAGCATTTGTGCTCATTAAATCTAAAGTAGTAAGCTTGATAGAAATCTGCATAAAGGATCACCTAATTGATATATGAAAATAACTGAACTGAGAAACTTTTATGTAGTGTGCCTTGAATACAACACGTAGTACTTCCGTTTTCGTGATGTCTAACCGACGCATGCTACGCATTCGGATGTTGTTCAAGGTGTTGGGTTTAATACGTGTAGGTTCGAACGTGCACAATGCACAACATTGCCTTACAGAATATTGTTTAAGGCCCTAGGTATAATACGTAGGGTGATCTAGTTGTCGAAGTATGTGTGTACGTAAACTGTTAAATAAATAAAATAAAAATTAAATCCTGTCCTAGCCAACCACAAACTCTTGATCAGGTGCAATATTCAATGTTGGCCAAGTTTCCGTGTCGGGTAGTATATTTCCCAACGACATCGTAATGCATGCGGTATGGGTAGCTGAATTTAAATCTCACCGAAAACATATTCTATCAACACTTCAGGAAAATGTTTTAGCTTTCAATTGACAGGCTATAAAATATACGAAGGGATAGCGTGTCAGGTAAACGATTCACCTTAGGTAACGTCGGTGCACTTATCGCTAAGGCTTACGTATCCAATTTATCCGTTATTATATCAAAAAAAACAGATTTGAGAAACACTTGAGCCTTTTGCCTTTCACCTGTTCAGTATACAGAATGGAAGCCTTGGTAGAAGACCTAGATCATACAACCATCTATAAACGAAATTTGAACTGTACTTTTGAACATAATACTTCTCTTAAAAATTGTTTATAATTTGTGCGAATTTAAAGTGCTTTATTACTTATAGCAATACTTGATTTTCGCGCTTATTAAGAATTCTAAAACTTTCAATATTCTAACTTATTTAATATGTATATGTTACCAATTATATTAGCTTTTTCAATTTATAGACTTTATTGTTAATGAAATAAAAAAACCTCCTAATTTTTCAATTTTCATTATAATTTCTTCGTTTATTAATAAAACTACTTTCGATTAAATATTTGTGGTCTTGTTATTAGGTAATTTTATGAAATTCACTACTTTACTTATCACTTTAAACCTTTGTAAACAAACATAAACTTGAAATTTTTCTGCACATAATAGATAGCGAGGAAAGTGACGAAGAAGGTGGACTAGGTAATCTGAATCGGCTGATAGTTCGACCGCCAGGGCATAGCGGTAAAGCGAAGCGGGGCCATCTGTGTTTCGACGCGGCATTCGAATGTGGGAACCTGGGTCGCGCCGACCACATTACCGAGCTCGAGTACGACTTGTATGTCAGGCCGGATACCAGCCGACCGAGAGCAAGGTTCTGGTTCAATTTTACAGTGGAGAATGTCAAACAGGATCAGGTATGTTGAAAACATATTTAGAATATCTTATCTCCTCTACCGGCTTTCTATGCCATGCTAGACTGACAGTATTTATATTTATACTTTACTCTACATATCGTATTAATACGATAAGTAATAGTAGACTAATATATTAAAATGTACTTTTTACGTAGCTTAGCTTGTTTTACAGTCGGTCTGTATAAAAATACAATTCTTTTTATAAGTATAGATGACTGATCTAATCTGTGGCGTGGTTTTCAATTCCAGTCGAAACTACATAACAATACATATACTCTAACGCCTGTCACCCAGAGGGGTAGACAGAGTCTATTGACTTCCATTTATCGCGACCACGACGCATCTCTACTATTTCTTTTATATATCTACGCACACATACACGTTGGTTAAGGGTATTCTCAACCTGACCCATCTTCAATATGCCTATTTGTTTGATAAACTCCGTTCAGAACGTCCCTTGCTGTCTCTGCTACTTACTTCTGAAGCATAAATTTGCTTTATCACTCTTTCCCCTACATTCTTTTTACATGTACAAACCAGCGAAGCATTCCTTTTATAATTCTGGTCGGAGAACATGTTCTTGCAAACCATACTTTTCACTTCTCACACGATTTCTCACCCTATCATTCAAAGTCAGCCGAAACCCACGTTCTTCGACTTCCAAACTTTCCAAACAATTGTTAATAAGCAAATGGAACAGTCTCGGGGAAGCACTTCTGTCAGACATATTTATGGATGTCAAATCACTCCGTTGGGCTAGAGTCCTTTTAATGATATTTTGCCCGTTGATACAGGATCATGCTCAAAGAAAAGACATGGTCCGTCTTAATGCAGCTCACACATCCCAAATTTTTAGAGTTAGTCTGGTTGCGTTGTTAATGTACTTTCCTGACCGCTGAGCCTAACGAATGGGCGTAACATTGGGCACGAGTTAGGTATAGATCAAGACAAGTAGCAAAACGATTGCATATTTATGCATATGTTTCCAATAATTTCGAAAGTACTGCCTTGGACGAAAATTGGTCATATATATTTTTAATTAATCGCTTTAAACTCCCATGAAGTACCTTTCTAATGAATTTAATTAAAAATATCCACTATATTGTTTCAGAAAGTGATATTCAACATAGTAAATTTTGGAAAGGAGTACACATTGTATGATACAGATATGACACCTCTAGTGAGATCAACTTCGCGCCAAAAATGGTACGCTCACTAGAAACTCACTTAAACTTAGTGCTACGTCCCACATCAGATAACTTCGATTATATGTCCAAGATTTATTAATTTTTTTTAACTTTTATCGATCTTATTATTCAATTAATTCTTTAGCAGCGTCGGAAAACGGTTTACGACAATCACAAAGTTGGCCGCCACCAAGAATTAAATGTTTAAATTAACTTGTCACACTTTATAACAAAAATGTTTAAAATAGTATGTATTAGGTATAAAGGGATACATTTTATTTTACAGTCTAAATAAGGAAACAATTTTCTAGTATAATACAGAAGGGATCCATTCTGCATCTCTGCTCTAAAGGAACTCTTTAATAGTTGGTGCTCTCACCAAACTACATCAGTACTTCATTCGGGATGAGCTTCTAAATCTGTATCAAGCTCAAGTCCGACCGTTCAGTACCACTAGCCGGGTTGCTGTCAGTGAACAGACGTGTTCTCATCACACGATACTTATAGTGTATCAACTATTTGGGCTGACGATAGTAGAGAGCTGTATCGTCTACCCTAACTACTACAATATCGGACTTTTGAAGACAAGTTTGAGGATCTTTTGAGCTAACGTTTTCACTATCTAGAACATACCATCACTTTATATCCATACGATTAGGATTTTCACATGTACATAGGCCTATTATTGATGAAAAGAAAATTCATGTAATAATAGGGAAAACCTTGATGCTGCAACCAGTATCTTTTTTTTCTCAATAGAGTTTTTTAACATTAACTGTTATTGCCTTGAAATTGAATATGAACGTTGAGATTGGATGGTAAAACATATTGATGGAGCTGATGCTGCATTCAGGAACTTACCCAAGTGCTGGTGCTCAAGTAGCGTCTATTCTCCCACTCACATAGTCCGATGGAGCGGTAATCCAACACGACCAGAGATAGATAAGGCGCCAGACGACGACGGCCTTACTTGCTTTTCTCTCTCTTCTCTTTTCTTCTCTTTCTCTTTTTGATGTTCAAACACTGCCTACTTCCTGACTCCGAAATACTACTGAAAATTTCATGAAAGAAAAACTCAATAACTTATTGTTAAACCGATCCGTGATTCCGCGACCGCATGATCAGCAATCCCGCTTATGACCGCTAGACCAACGAGGCAGTCATAGTACTAATCATAATAATACGATTTATCCAAATAATATTTATTTTTTTGTTCTTAATATTTTCATTCTTACTTAAGTGCAACCGTACTTTTGATCCAATGTATTCATTGCTTGTATCATATTATGTGCTTTCGTACTTCTGACAGTGCAGCCGATCCAATCATTAGGACGATCATGGAGTGCACGTAATTGAAGAGCTTACTAGGTAGTATCTTTTTTGCTTAGAAGTCCGTCTGAGACAACACTCTCTCACTTGTTTCTGTCGCGAAACAGAAATGCATTTACACGTGAATAAACGATATTATTATCTACAGTAACCACTTACTATCAGGTGAACTGTTAGCTTATTACTTTAAAGACATTACTAGTGTTCCACTTAACTACGCCAATCAAGGGGATAATGCTTGTTTGGTGTTCCCAAATACCAAGAAATACGTAGGAGGGGTGAGCTTCAGCTCTATTCCATCAACCTGTTGTACCGTCTTTATCCGTTATACCGTCGTCGTCGAGGCTGCGGCGTTTTTTTTTTTTTTGAAAAACTAATGACCGTCAGACCCGGCGGCAGTATCAGAGAAAGTTTCAGAGTGTACAAAAATAACGAGTGGTTTAGCACAAATGTCTAATAGCGGATACAAACACATTAACTTTTAGTTTCGCAATTCGTACGGTTTACCTATTCATATGTTATTTTTTGTCGTTTTATTAGATATTCAATTTACAAAAGTATTTGTATTTTAGGCAACGAATCCCAAAGAGATTTCTATTTTACCATAAGTCCTTGGTCCATCGAGGCCGCAAGATCCTTAGTTTGGCTTTTGGATTTGACCGCGAAGAAGATGTGTATCAGTTCGCAGCAGCGGCACCTTATTCTTACTCTAGGCTGCAGAAATATTTAGCAACTTGGGAGAAGCGAGCTCAATCCTTTGCCACTAGGAAGACCATCGCACAGACTACCGTAAGGCAAATACGTAAATGATCTCTAAAAATCTTATAAATAGTATACCTATTTGTAGTGCGCAAAAGTTGTTTAGTAAGACTAATATTTTTACTAGACTAATCTAAGGTTAGTAAGAATTTTTATAGAAATATTTAGCTAAAATTAAATTTTTCGTAATAAAGAATTATAATAGCAACGCAGCGTTTTTTTAAGTATATCTTGAGACATTGCCATATTACCCGTCCGTTCCACTTAACCATGCTTCATATTTCTTATTAGATGAACATCCTTTGGAACGTTTCAAGCCCCCTTCTCTCCTCCCTTCTCATTGTGATATTTATATTCAGTATAATATGTGAGTAGCATTTGAATCTGAAAACTGCAGGAGTGTGGGATTTTCCTTCATTGACATTTATGACTGCTTTGATAAGATATGAGAACAGATTCTTCTTCTATATAACAATACCGCATTAATAAAAGCATTCACATCTTTTACAAATAATATATTATGTATCAAAATGTATAAAATAAGGCTTTTATTTCATGCATTTCATAATATTTAACATTTTGTTTATATATAATGTAAATATAATAGTTTAAAAGGTTTGTTACATTAATTTTGTTTTCATTTCAAACCTGCATTATTACCTATCTAATCAATAGTTTTCATAATGTCTTTTCATTACTATTTTGAATTATATATTAAATGTATCAATTAAATTATTTTTTTAATATTTATAAATTGTTGGGTTTAAATATAGTTCAATAATAAAAATATAGAATTAAAATATAACAACATGCCTGAACCCCTCAAGTATAGAGCATGAAGGCCTTCTCAAAAGAAAGCCAGCGGTCTCGGACTTTGGTTTCTGACAGCTTTTGCCTGCGACTCGAGTGATATCGACTGCCGATCTAGTTCCGTTTTCAGAGTGCTTGTGTGTCATTTATGTATATTTAACACAATTCTTACATTTCATAGCAAACCTAAAATCGGAGTTCGGATCCAGCCGATAACACTAAATTCTTTATCGCAATTTTAAGCGCTGACTTACTACATGCTTAGCGGTAAAGTAAGACATCAGAAGGAAACTTGCATGTCTGGGAAATTTAAAATAAGTATTTCGAGGAGAGACATTTTTATATAGCCCCTTTTCAAACAGCGAAACCGTGGTAACTCTGGGATTAAGTACTCTTCTTAAAGCTTAAAGTTTCATCAGACAAAAAGCTAAATTTATTTTCACTCATACTCTTATTAATATTTCATATTTCATGTGTAGGCTTCTTTTTCTAGCAGCTTCAAGAACATAATTAAAAATGTTTCTTATCGTATTTTAGCAAAAACGTCAAGTTGATCTTATAACGATTGGAGATTTAAATGCAAAGGAACATGAAAACAAAGACGAGAATATTACAAAACTTAAAAGCAATGAAACAAAGAAACGTGTCATTCTCATTCTAGCAAGATCACACGGCGGTGAACCACCATCTTCCTTTATTTGTCAAGGTAGTGGTGACCGACTGGTTACTTGAGTTTTCCTAATAAAATGTTGAGTATAATTTGTGCTTTTTGGCAGGTTTCTTGGATTATATTGTAAGTTCTGCAGAGAACGCATCTGCTCTGAAGGATAACATAGTCATACAAGTAAATAATTAAACCTATTTTATATATTAAACAAAAACTTATTTCATTGCATTTATTTTCTTGTAGCTAGAGATTTATCTATACTAATATTAAAGAGTTGATTCTATTAAAATATTTTTAAAATCTGGTAAATATAATGTTTGATTACCAGATTTTAAAAATGTTATCAAGTAATTCTTCAAACATGATACAAAATTACATTTCATGACTTAGATGGTGCCGATGTTGAACCCGGACGGGGTATTCCTAGGCAACCAACGCTCGGATCTGTTAGGCTCCGACTTCAACCGCTGCTGGCACCGCGCTACCACCTTCGCTCACCCACAGCTTATCGCCGTCAAAGAACATATCCGGAAGATCACTGCTGAAAAGGTAATTTACAAACTTGGTGCCGCCTTAACATAGCCACTGAAATCTAAATAATTTCATTTCATTTTATCATTTTTTTTAGATTTCCGAGATTAAGAGCATTGGTACTATCTATCAGATGTCCCATTTATATGACGGTATCTAAACTTGAATGAAATTTCAAGGGAAAAAATAATCAAATCGTATCGTATATATTTCTTTTCCTTTATCTTATCATTAACATCTATACCCACGATTCAATACTGATTTTGATTTTAAAAGAAAAAAGATATATTATAATTATATATACACAAAAAGATGTCTTGAGTGAATAATAAATTTTTTTACACGTTACCTCCACGAGGATTTTCTCATATCATCTATCAACGCACAGCCTAAATATAATAGTAAAAATATACTAGGTACATGAATTGAAAACATTTTATTTTAATATTTAAACATAAAGAAAACAATTTACCAAATGACAGAGAAGAGGGTATGGAATTTTTTTTATTAACATCCCTTCGGCACGCTCTGGCAACTCATAAGCCTCTAGCAAACTGCCTGCCAATATTTTTCTTTGTTTCTTCAATATAAATAAAAGACATTGAGTGAATTCTCAAAGATAGTATTGTTTGTAATTTGTTACAAAAATTAAATAATTAATACAAATCAGTTAGAGAGCTACAGGTAGAGAGCATTAGGTAATTAATCCTGTAATAGTGATAGTTGTAAGTTTTAGAAATAAATAAATAAGATTTTTCCGCAATTAGAATCTGCGTACCTTAAAAATGTTTCGCCCCTAAATTTGTCAGGCTTAACCGCACGCCCCCGCCCTAGCTTCGCGAAAGCCAACAGGTAAATTTATATTCAGCTATTAAAGATTTCTTTTTTGATACAAATCAACCGTGTAACTGATACGAACATTTTTATGTAGCCAACTCTTAGATCATAATCTACTATAGGACATTTTTTTATAAAATTAAACTGATAAACGAACTTACTGACCATCTGATAATACGGCAGTTCAAGGACATCAGCAGCATACTTCAAATAAAGTAATCTACATATTAAGCGTTTTTACATCTGAGGACCAAGATGTAATGCCTAATGGCCTACAATTAGGTATACCGGCTCGCCACGCCCTTCAGACTGGAACACAGCAGTACACGCAACAATATTTATTTTGGTGGCAAAGTAGATAAGGGTGTATTACCCACCCAGACTGACTTCAAGACAGAGAAGGAGTGCTATTTTATATAATGGGGTAACAAACGAGCCACCACCGTCCACCTGTTGGTAAGTGGATGCTGTGGCCAATAGACATCTACATTTATCTTCGGTTAAGAATCAAAATGCAGATGCGTTGTCACCCCTGAGGACTACGATGGAATGCCTCATTTCCAGTAAAAAGCGTCTCCGGTTCTCTACACTCACTATACGATACACAAGCAGCATTCAACTGCTATTTTACGCTGTTTTTTTGTGAGAGGTCCTTCTCCGGTCGAGCCGACGCATTCATGCTACAACCATGTTATACCTGCAGCGTGGCGCTACCACGTGCAAGTCCTACCAACTAATAAACTATACAGACTATCACAGGATTGTAGCTAATACTTTATTCATATACCTAATTATAAATGATTTACAAACGCATGCATGAATGTTATAATATACCTGACATTACAGACATTGCAGCTGGATTTTATCATCGACATTCACGCTGACATAAGCCACGAGGGCGTTTTTGTACGTGGAAATTCATACGACGACGTGTACAGGTACAATCGAAAGCATGACTATATACATATATATTATAAAGAAATAATATAATATACAATTGTTTAGAGTAGCACGTTTTTGTTTTAGGCCTTATTTTTTATAGAATAAGGGTGAAAAACGAGCAGACAGTCCACCTGATAGTAAGTGGATGCTGTGTGATGAATAATGAAAGTCGAAAATGCAGATTCTTGTCACCCTTGATAACTAAAACGGAAGGCTTCGAATCCGGTAAAAGGGTCTCCGGTTCTCTACACTTACATTATGTAACACAGCTGCATTAGGCTGATATTTCAAGCTGGTATTCAGTGAGAGAGTGGTTCTTCACCGGGCGAGCCAACCCATTCCTTCTAAAACCATAACATAGCTGCAACGTGGCTCTACCACGTACAAATTACTTAGTTACTTAATTATCATATAAACTTTTTTATTTCAATAATTCTTTGTTCTACTCTTTTTATTGTACCCTAATAATCCACAGCTGGATATGAACCTTTAATTGCAGGAAACATTTGCCGTAACCATCACGTGAAAGGAATGGCTATAAATATAAAATAAGTAAGATAAGGAGGGAAGTTCCGCTTGAGACTAAATCTGCTCGGGATAAACAGAGCAAGTCAAAGGCGCCCCTGCCACGCTATCCGAGAATTTATGCAACATCAGGGGACGTCGTTCAAACCTTAACGCCGACCACTACCATCTGGAAAGGGCGAAGCCGGCCTTGCTCTTTATAACCGAGACACAGGTGTCCTCTCCGGCTGATACTTCGTATGTCTCATACCCGGTGTACAAATTAGAACACTCCTTTGTGCCCCTGTCTGGAGTTTACATGCACATCAGAGAGGGCATCTGTTTTCGACGCCTCGGCAGCTTTGAAGGTACAGACCTGTCCATCTTATGGCTGCGCGTAGACAGCGACAACCACCCACCTGTACGGGTGCCTCTATAGGTCGCATAGCGGAAAGCCGAAACAGACCGACTCATCGACCACGTCCAGATGGCTACAGACTCCGTGCTACAACAGTTCCCATCCGCAGAGATCGTGATACTCGGTGATTTTAACGCCCACGACGCTGAATGGCTTGGTACTCGTTTAACCCATCATGCGGTTAAATCTGGTTATGACTTTGCTGTGGCATATAGTCTGACATAACTGGTTACCTCGTCTACGCGGATCCCAGATATGGAAGATCATGTACCTTCCCTGTTGGACCTTCTACTGACCTCTCATCCGGACGGATATCAGGTCTCCGTCGATGCCCCTTTTGGCTCCTCGGACCATTGTCTGATCTGGATTACGGTGCCACTCATTGCGGTTGCGTTTGCCACCGTGTTTGGCATTATAGGTCAGGAGATTGGAATGGGATGCAATCTTTTTTTGCATCCTACCCTCGGGGGCGGGTTTTCTTCTCGCCGGATGATCCCAGCGTTGTTGCTGATTCTGTTGCTGATGTGCTACAGGTAATGTAATTTTTTATTTCATTATCTGTGGTACCTATAGAAGGCAGAACCCAGCCTTGGTTTGGTCTTTCTACTGAAGACGTGCGCTCCGGTGTTGGCACCGGTTGTAACGCGTCTTTTCCAGTACTCCTACTCCCTCGGCGTGGTCCCGAAATCATGGAAGACAGCCCTCGTGCACCCGATCCCCAAAAAAGTTAACCGCTCTGATACGTCCCACTATAGGCCTACCGCCATCACCCCCTTGTTTTCTAAAATAATGGAATTCATTATTAACAGCCAGCTCATGCGATACCTTGAAGATCACCAGCTGATTAGTGACCGCCAGTACGGTTTCCGTCGCAGTCGCCTGGCTGGTGATCTATTGGGATACCTAACTCATCAATCATCAACATCGGACAGAGGCAGTAGAGTCCAAGGGGGAGGTGTTGCCCGTTAGTTTGGACATAGCGAAGGCCTTCGATCGGGTTTGACACAAAGCGCTTCTTACGAAGCTTCCTTCCTATGGGCTTCCCGAGAAATTGTGCAATTAGATCACCAGTGATCTGACTGACTGATCGGAGCATAAAGGTCGTCGTAATAGATGATGCATGCTCCGATTACAAGGCCATTAACGCTGTTGTTCCACAAGGCTGCGTGCTATCACCAACGCTGTTTCTTATACATATAATGTTGCCATCCGGTAACATTCATTGCTATGCAGACGACAGCACTGGTGAGGCTTTATACACCGGCCGGCCAATATTTCTCGAGAAAACATCACAGAGTACCGAGACAAACTTATATCTGAAGCCGAAACTTTGTTGAACAAAGTCTCGGACTACGGGCGACTAAATCTAGTCCAGTTTAATCCCCAGAAGGCACAAGTTTGCGCGTTTACCGCTAAAAACAACCGTCGTCCTGTCTCCTCAGTTTCAAGGCACTCCCCCTTGTTGCCTCAGCCAGTATCGGAATCCTCGGCGTCGACATATAGAGTGACGTGCAGTTTCGTGGTCACTTGGAAGAGAAGGCCAAATTGGCCTCTAAAAGCTTGGCGTGCTCAGCTCACCGTCTGCAACTCTACAAGGCGCAGATTCGGCCTCACATGGAATACTGTTCCCATCTCTGAGCTGGGGCTCCCCAGTGCCGGCTCCTTCCACTTGATTGCATCCAGCGCAAAGCTATTCGAATCGTCGGCGACCGAGCTCTTTTCGTTCGGCTTGGCTCACTGGCACTGCGAAGAGATGTAGCATCTCTTTGCGTATTTTATCGCATCTACCACGGGGAGTGCTCTGAGGAGTTGTTAGGACTGATTTCAGCCGCACAATTTCACCATCGCAAATCGCGACAAAACTCGATACCATCCATACCATCTGGATGACTGGCGGTCCACCACCTTGAGATTTCAAAGAGGTTTTCTTTCTCGCACAGCTTCGTTGTGGAATCGACTACCACCAAAGATTTTTCCGGACCGATACTTAGGGGCCTTCAAGAAAAGAGCCTACTCCTTTTTAAAAGGCCGGCGACGCATCTGCTATTCCCTTGGTGTTGCAGTTGTTCATGGCGGCTCTAATCATGCTAATTAACCATTAGGTGAGCCGCATGCTCGTTTGCCCCCTCTCCTATAAAAAATCTCACAATAAACGCAAATATCTCACAACCTCGACACTGATCTCTGATACCGGTCTGGCTATTTTACACCTGAAATATACGAGGTCGTTCGCCTTTATCCATTTTTTTCTTTTTTGAGGTTACGTTTATCCTCACACTACGACTTTCCCCTGTATCGTGGAGGCAGTTTATACACATAAATTGTACAAGGACAAACATCCAGACATTGTTTGTAGGCCATATATTGTTCCGTGCCGGATTCGAACCCGCGATCGTCAGCGCCACAACTTAATGCAAAGCGTAACGGAGCCGTCAATCTATCACAGGCCAAGAGTTATCTCTGGCCTTCTTAGTAGTCGCTCATTACGACGGCCATGGAACGAAATGGAGTGAAGATTCCTTTAAGTCGTCAACATACAGTTGCGCGCCAAAGTTGACGTCAGGTACCTGGCACTAGCGCCATCTAGTGTCAGGGACCAGAGCAAGGAGTGCTTCCTAGAAAATGTCAATCTTGATCTTTCAACCAACAGCGCTATCTAGTATCGAACAGAAGAATTAAGCTTTCTGGAAGCCCCACACTCGAACTTTCTGCGCCTGGTCGGTTGGCGCGCGTATTTACTTGAATATTCTGGATGTTTCGGTGAAAAAGGTGTATTTAAAGGTGCTGCAAGACGTGATCGGGCGGTATTGAATTTGGCGAGACAAGCGAAGCTTCGGAGCGAAATAAAGTGAATCAATGTGATTAATTATTAGTGTTTTAAGTTTAAATTGGTGTTCGGTAATAAAAGTGTAAATTTTGGTAACTCAATCGGCAGTTTTTATTGTCACGAACCTCAAGCTCGTAACAATACGACAAGGCTAAATCGTAAACTCACCGTTGTACCGTTTATTATTTGCGAAATAGTTCGTGTTTTATTTGATTTTCATTTTTGGTTCCATTCAAAAAAAATATTTTCAAGGCTTACATAACCTTAAGCCACATTTTGTCTTAATTTTGTTGCTTAACATGTAATCTTTTAACTCGTAACATAAGGTTTGAGCGGCATGCAGTGCTTCCGAAGTTCCTAGCGATGCGAGTAGAGGCTTGGCAGTCGGAAAACTGCTTGTACAACGCGGACGCGACGCTGGTAGGCTCCGCACGTCGCGCCTTACCAACGGCTGCTGTCGACGCCTACACTCTAACCGTTTCTTTGGGCGGCAGGCGATTGAACCCTAGGGGCCCTTATATACACTATACTGAAGATGCATGTATCCTTTTTCAAATATAGTAATTACCTTAACTCGGCAAGTGAATTTGTGGGGCTCTGGGCTAATACTACTTAGGGGGGCTAATAATTTCTCAAGTAATTTCCATTTTGTCAAAAAATAGTTTTCTATAGTGATGTAGGTACGTAGGGTAGGTATAGGAATAAATAGGACCAAAAATATTTTATTTGTGTAATATGACTTAATGTTTGTTACAAATTGTTGTATACAAGCAACAACCGTACGACATTATTAAATAAAATATTGACAGATTATGTGTAGTTACGTTATATAAATTATAAAACAACCTTTCTGCATTTTTGTGCTGCAAATTTCTTTATTTGCTCATCACACTGTAAGTCCTTTGTTAAATAGCAATCTACGGAAAGGACTGATAAGTTATTTAGTAGATATTTCGACATCGTTGTCCTATATTTGTTATCTATATACGACATCCCGGAGAAAGAGCGCACCGCTTCACAGCTAGTGATAGAGGCAATCTTAAAAAATCTATAAGATGGTATAGTAATTAGGGAAAACATCAAAGTTTATTTTCATAACTTAGCAAAAACTTGAATTGCAAGACGTGTAAGACTCTAGCTTAGACTGTAGTAAATAATTTTTTTACTGAATGCACTCATATTACGTACACTTTTCAGATCTATGTGTTTCGTATTTTTGTCTTACAAATCCATTTAAAATTTAAATTTTTTGCTACATCTCTCATAGACTTTTTTTTATTTAAATCCATAATCAGCTTATCTCACGCAACGTTTATCGTGTCTATCTTTCGGCGCCGTGTACTGAGACTTCTTTAGACTTATCTTAAAAATTTTGATACATCTATTATTTGTGTTACTGTAATACGTCTCCACACCAGTACTTAATATTTTAGATTTCTTTTCGTATTCATGTAACTTCCAATTTAATTTTTGCCTTATGTTGTTCACAAACTCTTTTAAAGATAGAATTAACTTATTACTTTCACAAATATCTAAACCAATTTCCGTATTTTGTTTTTGTTAACTAAATTAAATCTCTCCAAAATTGGTTCCCAAAAAATAATCAAAATTGCAGTCACGAGTTTCGCTAGTTTATTAAATAAATTTCGCGCCTCTTTCAAAATCAACTTTTTCATACTCATTTTCGCTGAAACTTTTGAAAATGTTCATAATGTCATCATACTTGTTTTTAAAGCTTTGACAGCATCATATTAAACAAGACCATCTGTTCTGGCTTAAACTTTTTAAGGTAAATTTTAGTTTTGTTTTCCCACCTTTTTTACATGGGGAAATGCCTACGCATAACCGCCTCGCGGGAGCAAGGACGGGTTATGTCGGACTCGCATCGACTAAAACTACATGATTTTCCACCTTCGTCGCATATCGGCAGGACCACGGGAACGCACACATCCGCGGCCCCACTAGCGCCGGCCGCCCCATGGCGGTGTCTCCTCGGGTAGTCCTCCTCCTCCCGCTACTCCCGTTCAAGTAAGGTGCACCAGAATACATGGCGCACCTTTCTCCACGGCCTCCAAATACACTTGCGCAACGGACTCCCCCGTGTCCGATGCACGAAGGCCATGGGCCAGGAAAAACGAGCACTCAGAAGCACTAGCCTACTTGACCCCAGTGGCGGATCTGGTCTATGGCTCCACCGCCAACCAAGATTCTGCTGCAGAGGGTAGGGAGAGCGGCGCCTCGTAATACCGACACTCCTCTCCCCCCGCAGCCCCACCACCACCACAACAACGGTGCGCTCCCGTTTGAGTCCTGGAGGATAGGGCAAGTGGAATCGCCATACGAACTCCTCTTCCTTTGCGACTCCACCTCAGCTGCAGTGGTAGGGGGAGAGCACACCCTTCTCGCCGCAAGCCAACTCGGAGTGGCCACCTTGGGCCGGCCTATCTCCTCGGGCCATCCATGTGGTTTCCTCTTTGTTCACCTCGGGTGACCAAGCCACGGTTACCAAGCTTACCCCCACGACAAGGCCGCGAACCCGTGCGGGGGGGGGGATAACAATTTCCTCCTATAGGTCGAAGCGGAAATGAAAACGTATATTATTTGCAATACTCCAAAAAAGGTTACAATTACTGTTGCAATCTTCACGAATTCTTCACTAACTAGGTTAAGGGTATGCGCAGCACATGGCACATAATCCGCGAATTTATTTTTTTGTTTTAGTAGTGCTTGTATCGTAACACAATAGCAAGTTGATCACTGTGAGACAGATCTGACTCCATCACAATTTAATAATACTTTGTGTCGTCATTATTTGTTTGAATTATAATTCGCTTAATTATCTGTTTACCCATAATCTCAATTATTTCTTCATATACTGTTTTGATAAGTACGATAATATCGGTTTTGGTCACAGCCCTCGTTGTTCAATATGTTTACAATTGCATGGGTCGCACTCTGCCAATATATCCAGAGCACCCATAAAATTACCACTGCGTGGTGAACCAAATACTTCCTCAGAACTTCTAAATGCTAAAACCCTAATATACTAAAAAATTTTACCACTGCAATAACGCGTTTTAAGGCATTGTGATAATATTCTGTTACTTTCCCTAATTACTCCTGAAGCTGCTTGTCTAAAACGGACTTATTTTCTTTTCGTGTTTGAATTCTTATATTTATTACAATTTTCGTGATTTTCTAAACAAGTTCCTATGTGTTTCCAATCAGAAAATCTGGTTGTGTACTAAAAAGGAATTTTATAAAAAGTTTACAAGTCAAACAAATACAGTACCAAACCTTCTTGTATAACATAACCAAGATCTTTCCAGTAATTGGCCATTTTCATTGTCTTTATGAAATACCTATTTGAAAAAGGTGTTTTGTTCTTTATGTTTCTTTATGGAAGCTGAATATATATTTTTGGACCTTTTTTTTAAATCAGTCATTTCATGTAAGAGGAAGTCGTTAATAAAATCAATATTTAGCAGTTGGCCACAAGCCCATGTCAACATATTTCTCAAACTTATACTTAATATTTTCTAAATTTCTTTCCGCCTCGGATTTACTGTCCTTATGCTGAACACCAGTATCATTCTCAGAGGGATCACAGGGTTACTGGTAGTCAGAAAGATCTTGCACATTTTTATCACTGATATTTTTTCTGGTTTACAAAATGTTGCATATTTCCATCACTTTTTTTCCTTGTTTTTGCGCTTTTCTGTTCTCTTCGGTTAGATTCTCTTCGAACAAGATCCCTTCCATTCCCCCCTAGTAATATTATATATATCTCTCACGTCACATTTTTAATACTTTGTAATAAGTGTAGCAATTCACAAATTATCATTAAAATCGATTGTTCATTTAGTATCGAAAAACTTAAACAAAAACAAATGAAATCATGATTTATAATAATATTAACAGTAATAATTTATTTATTGCATGTTACAAAGTATAAAGTTGTTACAATATATTTACAGATCATGTGACATCCTGTACGGGCGTAGTAATTTAAGAAACAGTTTAAATGTTAGTTAATAGAGATTTAAATTAAAAAACAATATTTTAATACACAATCTATAAATTATTATTAATTTATTTATAAAATATCACATTAATTGTAAAACTTAATTTGAGTAAATAATATATATATATATCTCAACTCAACAAATGATCATTCGTCATTCATGTAAATAAGATTTAAAATTTACATAAAAATATTAACAATGTTAAATAAGTAAGTATAAATGATAAAACTGTGTCAAAATAATTAAAATTGATTTATAATTTATCATTAAAGTATTCATTTAAATTAGTTTTTCACAATAAACATTCTCTTAAGATCGATTTAAAATTTACAACACTATTTTTATTTTCTTTTTACTTTTCTTAAAAAAAATTCTTTTTACTTACCTAAAAAAGCAGTAAGTATTTTCTTATACTGTTTACTTTTCAATTAAGTAAAATAAAAGAAAGGACCGGTCTTTAGAAGTTTTTATATTATCACCCACTAAACACAGTTTTAACAATAATAAGGTTAATTTGTCAATTTGACGACGATAACAGAAGTGCGAAATAAAAACGAAATTCCGTCGGGGGCGATAAGCGGCGGGAAATCCCTCATAAAAGACGCACACGCGAGAAACAATGTGACCAACTCCAAAAAATATTAATACCTAAAGCTTAAGTCAAAAACTCCTAAAATCAACACACTTGAAAACCTCCCCTCAAAGCAATTACGTTTTGTACTATTCTTTATTTATAAATTATTTGATTATTTTTTTACACACATACATTCACAGAACATTCTTGTTTGAATGAATTAGAATACACAAACACACACACACGCACACACACACACACACACACACACACACACACACACACACACATACACACACACACACACACACACACACACACACACACACACACACACACACACACACACACACACACACGCAATATGTAACGTAATTAACGCACACCCTCAGACACCCCAATTAGTATATTATGTTATAATCGTAATACATACACTGAATTTTTAGTAAAACTTTTTTATGCACTGATTATTTATCAAATTAGTTATACTAATTCCGGAAAAATGTTGTGGTCATAGTACAAATCCACGAACGCAAAGACTTTAACGTGCTTGAAATAAAGTTCATTTTTCTTTATTTTTATAGAATGACAGAATTAGTAACAATACAAATAAAACTGCACTCTTAAAAGTCTTGTTGCATTAAGTTACGGTCCATTTCAGTTTGTTTTGACTGTACAGATTTAGTGTGATTGTAATTTACGTAGTTTTAATTATTTTTGGGATAAATAATGACCTATATTAAAAATTACAGGAATTGATTCAGTAAACGATTCTGAACAAACTACTTTCTCAAAGTGCGTTAATTATGTTACATGTTGTGTTTACGCTAAATCATAACTCTTGAAACTTGCAAGGCGCGTTCCGGGCGAGGAACTGGCGGGTTGCGCGGGGGGGTATTCATTTTGCGCTGGCGACCGTGCCTGGCAGTCTGCAGGAATCTTTGAGCGCTGAGGCCGCGCCG